GGACCGGAAAAAAGCCCTGGCGGGCGGAGGAATGGAGCCGTGAACATCGCCCACATCCCCGACCGAAAAATGGACGGGAAAAAAGCCCCGCCGGGCGGAGCAATGGAACCGTGAACCTCGCCACATCCCCGACCGAAAAATGGACGGGAAAAAAGCCCCGGCGGGCGGAGGAATGGAACCGTGAACCTCGCCACACCCCCGGCCGGAAAGCGGGCGAGAAAAAAAACATGGCGGGTGGAAAAAGACCCAGCCCGATTGACCAACTCTCGACCCCGACTCGTGACCCAACTTGGTTAACATCTCAAGCCACTTACGGCAATTTGTGGTCTTGTGCAACAGGCTAGGTAAAGTCTTCCTCGCGACTTCACCATGGTACGACTGTCGTTATAACTGGTTGTGCACCGAACGTCCCGACCGTGCCGACCATCCCGACCGTCCCGCTAGAATCTGATCCTACGACGCTGATCCGGCCGATTAGAATCTGATCCCAAACGCTGATCCTTGATTGACGCAAAGTCGAATCTGATCCGGCAATTGCCCGGTTCCGGGCAGTTACTAACTAGATCGTCTAACAGGGTGTGTAGTTGGACCAAGGCCTGTAGATGGCCGTGAAGTTTCGTGCGTTTGTTTGCTTTTCTGTTTTTTTGCAGTACTTTTGAGGTTTCCTTGAGAGTTACACACATGCCATGCAACTGTTATAACTGATTTGCTTTGCGAGAACATGGAGTAGGGGGTCGGCTTAATGACAAACGTTGCACATGCTACGCAACTGTTTTTTCAACAGAAAGTCTTCGCAAAGGAAATTGAACCATATGGAAAGAACACCCGCGTCTTGCAGGTACACAGTCGTTGGACGTGTTTAGGTCTGAAGACTTTCCAGCCTATGGTAGCATGCTGATGCTGAATGAGAGAGTCTCTGAGTACGTCTACATGTATGCATACCGACAACAGCACCTCAGAGACTCTCCGCACATGCTCTTAAAGAACTTGGAGTAAAAACCGTGCATTTTCCTATGGCCAAACGCTCAAATTGAAACTTTCCACATCTGCCCCCACTCAGAATCAAGCTCCAAAAAAAAACTAAGAACACATCCACTCTGAAAAAAAACAAAACATAAGTTTGGAATGAGTAAAACACTAACAAAACGTGTCGTAGCAAAACGCTTATGTTCAGCTCTCCCCAGTCAGGTTGCGGTCTCACCACTACAAATTCCCAAGCATGTCAGAAACCCAGTCTCGCTAAAGGTTTAAGACGTCTGCGGCGCCAAAAGCCCTACAAAACCTCACGGCCGTCTATGAGCCGTGGACCTAGCTTCTTAACGTTCCCGGGCCGGCATGTTTGACTATGGGGTATGCTTTGATGATTCCGTGTGAAGACTAAAGTAGTAGCATTTTCGGAGGGTATGCTTCGGATATGCTTCGCCTACAGCAAGTCAAAATCCCACTCCACAGATTCAATCTGGACACGTTTAAAAAATACAAACCAATTAGTTCTTGTAATCCTATGTCATGACAACTCTGTCTCGTGCGGTGTTTTGCACTAAAGGGCTCCAGACCGGTATTGAAATAGATTGTAAACGGCGCGGCTACTGACTGCAGTATGCTCCTTCCAAGCTCCAATCTGAAGTGTGAGCATGTGAGCACCTGCTTCCAAGGACTTCAAACACTCTTTTTCGACTCTGAGTTTCTGTACAGAAGTACGGGGTCACTCCACCCACCACGAACTAATCACCAATGAAGAGCCTGGCTGTGTGGTGCTGTTAGTGGGTTGTGTTCTCAACATGTTTTAGTGTAGTGTCAGTCGGCAGACTCTTCGAAAAAAAAAATCCAGCGCATTCTGTAGCCCACCGGGATACGAAGACCCTTTTCACCCAAGGTGTACCAGCAACTTTATCATCTTTATCTACAGTTTTAGGGCGACGGCGACAGCAATGGCAATGCTTTTTTGGAAGCTTCATTCCCATTGTCAAGCTCTTCATCCGAGTAAGACCCAGCACACATCTTTTTTCGGCTATTCAAGCGATGACAACCACAATGCCAGTAGTTATGTTTCACTGTTTGTTCAGCAATCCATTTCAGAATGAACAATTTGCACATGGCGCGAACTCTCGACACCTTGCGATGCTTTGGAGATCACACAGTTAGCAAAAACACCACATTGCCTTTGAAACATCACGCCGGCTTCATCTTCATCCGAAGCTCGCGCAGCACAGGGACTACTACAGACTCTTACTCCATAACCCACCGAATACGAATCAGCATTGCTGATTCATGTTTCTCCGGTGTGTCTCTGTGTGTGTGTGCGCGCCCCTAGTACGTGCGGTTCCCTTACACATTCTTAATTACTTATTTTCTGTACCAGTTTGCAATACTTTGCTGGAAATGAGTTGCAAGCAGCGGACTAGCGTGCAATGCTTTAGCAGCCAAAGGCTTCTTAGCAAGGGGACATGGCGCACAATCATGTCCAACGAAGCTACCTCCTTGCACGGGAAGTGAGAGCTGATCACTCTCTTGTACCTGCTTTCTCCTGCTGCATGGCTTGCATCTAAGCTAAGAACCGCCATAGCCACCTTCATGCTTCTGTTTTCAGTTCCTAACTAAAACATACTAAAACGATTGGCAAGCGGCTAGTAGTGCGGCTAGTTAAGCCAGAACCGCAACATGTTCAGCGTGATTTCTTGCATGGCACTACTCCGTTGAATGGAGAAGTTCGTGTCACGAAAGGCTTTCATGACGTTCAAAGATCGTTTCCTGGTCCCTGTATCCTTGCTTTGTAGGCCGTGGACTTAATGGACTTAGCAGGTTCTCGGTTAAGACATCTCCATCCACACATTCCCCCCCATGTGGCCCATACTCAGTGCACATATCGATACATATCGTCTATAGAGTCTGTTTCTGGACGTTTTTCCAACGAAACATGGCTTGCCCGGCTTGACGAATTTTGAGCTCTGGTGAAACAACATTTCTAGACTCTAGATGAGTTGCTTGTTTGCACTAAGATCCATGCACCAAACTCGAGTAAACTGGGAAAGTGCCTGAAGCTATCAGCTTAACTTGAAGAAGTTGAGGAAACATGTTCAAGAAGACAGCTATGGCTGCGACAGTTGCAGAAATGCAGACATAAGCACCAAAACGAAGAAAACAACGATAAACCTGTCAAGAAAAACTTGATTCCAAGATCAAGAACAAGAACACATCTGGAAAAGCGTCGCCGGGTTTGCATAGCAATCCGCTCGCACGGATGTACTTGTGGTCTGGAGCCTTGAGTAAAAAATGGACTTAGTCTGCACGGATTCGTCACTTGTCAAATTCACATTTCACCTCGTCTGTTGCACAAAAAATACTTCCACACCACATGGGTCTTGAATTACAGCGTGTAGAGCTTGCAAGATTAAGATAGACATGCACAAAATGCCAAATGAGCCAAGTGCCTTTCCGGCCTCTTCGGTTGTCACGCAGAGGGCCCTGCCTCGATGCTATTCTGCGTTCGTGCAGTCGGATGTGCTTGGAAGCGCTGCGTTTTTCAGACCCTTTTTGCAGTTGATGTTGTGATCTGAAAGAGGGTGCCTGCTTTTCGGCTCAAACCTTGCTGCAATCATGTGCAACAAAGGCCAACTAAAGTCAGCAGCAAAGAGTTTCAAGAGTGTTGCGATCAAGCTACAATCTCCCATCGTGAAGCCATGTGGAGCTCTCAGCTAGCACCTGCGCGGTGGCTGTGTCACTCCTTCTAATCACCCAAATGGCAGCGTGGCCCATGGTTTATGGCTCAAAGACTTGCTGAAAGAGAAAAGAACATGACACTCACAGTGCTGCTTTGTGGCCCTGTATGGCTCGATAATCTTAATTACGCTGCCGGTGCCATGGTTGTCTGGCCTCCCCAATGGCTTCTGCCATCGCAGCATCAACCCCACTGCCTCAAACATGGAATGGAACACCAAGCGCAGCTTTGGATCAGTGCCAAATTAGAGATGAAACAGGAAAAGCAAAATCAAACGTGAATGATCGTGAATGAATGTGTCTCTTTAATTCGTTCATCTTGTGTTTTCATCACGCTTCATCACACTTCCACTTTTCCAAAATGTGTTCAACCTCTCCCTTTCCATAAGCCTTTGCCGGCTGAACCTCTTCGCACAGGCTCTTTTGCCTCCTCTGTCGTCTGCGAGAAGTATAGCGTAGATCAAAAACAGAACTTCTGTTTTGGTTCAGATATTCCAAAAAGCATGTTGCCTTCCAGTCCATTTCCAGCCTGGCAATTGCAGGACTTTTGCCTGCAATGAGGCTTCTCGTCATGACCTCGATGCAACTCTTTGGCACAGCATCCTCATTGTGCACTCTGGGCTTGAAACTTGCCGCACGCATAGAAGTCTGTGCATGACAAGGCCTCCGTGTATGTCCATCTCATGCAGAACTCCACTATGCAATGCTCAAAGCACACACTCCTTATCAGCCACTTGTCTCGCACTTTCTCCACGCGCACTCGGCATATATTTATATTGTGATCGGATGGCTAAGTGAGTTCTGCAACTTCGGAAGTTCTCTCAACTGTCGTGTGTGTGTCGTGCTGTGGTTGGACAATCGTTTCAGATTTGGGATCTGTCAGCATAGAGCTTTCATCTTTGCTTGAGCCAGGCCATGGACTGAATTCTATGAGACAGGAATTGTTTCCCATGTCACCATTGCACGCGCTCAGCATGATGCCACTTAAACATTGATTTTGGAAGCAAGGCACGTGAAAGCATTGTGTCAAGCTGTCTGAAGCACCCAACAGGGCAAATGAGCCATACCCATTCAACATCCCCAACCTGAAGTGGAACTGTATGACTTCCGGAAATCTCATTCTTGGACAGGTTGCTAAACAAGCCCTGTGCAGTGCTGAAATGCTAGGGCTCAGAAGCCAGCGCGTTCGGCCTTTGGCTGGAAAGTGGGACATGCTTCGTTTTCAAAAAGCTGCTAAGCTCGATTTTGAATGACACTTGTTCCTAGTAGCGTGGCACTTGCTCCTAGTAGCGATGCCAGGAGCCCCTAGTAGCGTCCTTTGCTCCTAGTAGCCAGAGTTTCTCCGGATTCTTCCAAGACCTTGCCCATACCGAACTTCCAGCCTGTCTCTGCAACTTTTCAGAGATGGCAGCGCGCTTCAAATGTTCCAGGAAGCGCCTGGCTAGAATCATTGTAAATAAGTATTCTTGAGATTCTCTTCGAATTGCCGGTCTTTCAGCAACGTTCTGAAACACTTGCCAACGCAACGCAACTCGTTCGTAGAACACATCTCCAGCCTGCAACACAAGGCGACCCTACCCCAGTACCAATTCTGGTATGCTGTGCAAATGGAGACTCTGCGAACTTCTAGAACAACATTTGGAGGACAGAACCCAAAGCATAGAGTCCTGCATCTCCAAGTTGTTGTGATCTCCGCCCTGCAACAATTTGTGCACGGTTCTCGGTGGTGGCGAATGCTTCAGTATCATGCAGGTGAACAGTTTGAGCACCTCCACAACATATGCTTCATAAGCAATGCCCTTCTTCACACACATTTCGTGCAAAGCCTGCAGAACAAACAAAAGCACCAGAAAAGACTTGTGGTGACTCATCAGACTCATCAGCTCGGAAGCCTGTCCATGCCACACGGGAACAATTTCATCCCTGGTGCCATGGATCACGAACCTCATGCTGTCTGCAACCCAAGGTCTCTTACGCACTTATGACCTAAGACTTCGTTGGCCAAAACTCTTGACAAGCCACACAGGGCAGCAAACATCGCCTCAGCTTGAAACTTGAAGTGCCTCTCTGAACTTCTACATGTAGAATGTGTCAAAAAGGACCAATCAATCTTGTCAAGCCAAGCGATGCACCAATCTTATCAATGTTGGTGAAAATGTCTCCTGGAAGGGTAAAGCGCAAGCGGAACCTGGCCAAGACTGGACCCAGAAAACTGAACCCGTACTACACGATCACCTTCAAAGTAGAAAAACGCACAGTGCTGAGATTGCAGCGGTATTCTGTAGATCGACACCATGGGGCTCTGGAGAATCTGGCAGCAAAACTTCCTTTGTCTTAAAAACATGTTGTCTTTAAAACTATTATATCTAATATACTATAAAAATACGTATATAGTATACATAATATATACAACCAATCACCACACCAGGACTCCGGGCGATTCCCCGGACTGGTGCGGTTTTGGCCAGGTGTATCGACGGCGCAGTTCCAATGGATCTGCCATACGGCACGATTTGTGACCAAGGGATCCCTTGGTGCAAGCAACTGCAGCTAGGCTGCTAGGCAAGGCTGTCTGAAGATCAGATGTGAAGCTTGAATTACACTTCTACATTGTACACACTGTGCTTATCTGGGCATAATGCTAGTTGATTTATTGTTCAGCTGCTTCTAAGAACTCAGCGAAGCTCCTCGCGGAGGTACCTTAGCGAGAATCTTTATGGCTTTGATATTCTTTGACCACTTGCTGTCAAGGGTCTTAAAGGCAGCTTCGATGTCCGCATACACTGCGGCTTCCTCTCACACATATTGTACGGGTACAATCAAGTGCCAGTACATCTCATTGGACAAGCACATGCTGCGAAATTGGGTGTGGCTCACAAAAGGGTCACAGAATATTGTTGATCGGATCCTTTCGGATCCATGAATTCTGGAACACAAAGTCCTGCGGTTGCCCAGTGCTCATACCGTAGCCAGTGTACCTTGCCAAAGAGGCGACTTGCCCACTCGAAGTCTGCAAACAAATCAGACAAGCCACTCGTATGAGAACACGTTCACATGGAGGATATGGCTGAGCTCACGGAAGTACCTCCAGATTATGCATATGTTGTCCACCTTTCTTGTTATTCAACGCGGCTGGACCGTATGATGAGGCCAAGATCTTCGGCATTGCCGTGGCTGAAGAGCAAGGTAAAACTCAGTGGTCAACGTGATCAATGCTTCTGAAAAGCTCAGTCCAGCTACGTTCACACAATCCCAAAAGCATCACAGGGAATTACGATCTTGTCTGGCATCCTAAAGCAACTATGAACAAACACATTTAACACTTTATGAACCATCGACTGGATATCTAAGTGATACCGATGACATCAAATGGATTCAAATGGTAAATTAGGCTGGTTCATCTCTCGTCTGAGGCTTCCACTGAGAATCCTGACGTCGGATGAAGAAAGCTGGGATGACCTGGAGATGTAGGATGTTCGAAGCAAAAAGCAACATCGAACATGTTGACAGCCGAAGCATGTTGAAATGCACCTCTTCTCTTGAGGTTGTTAGCCAGAAGAGATTCGGATCTTTGCCATACCTTGGAAATTTTAGCTCTGGCTGCAAAATCAAACTTCAGTCTCTTGGAGGCCAGCGAAGATTGAGGAGGCTGAAAGACAAGTTTAGCAAGGCCATTGCCCATTGCGACCTAGCCAAGATTTCTCACCAAGATCGCCACCCAATGGGCATGGACATCGAAAATGTCCCAAGACAAAGGAGAAATCGAACTTGTGTATCCTGTTTGTGCTACTTTGCTACCATAAATCACGCCACATCCATTCCAGCAGAGCACCCGTGAGCGACTGGATGGCACAGGAAAGCATGAAGCAAGTTTCTAGACTTCATGTGCGCGAGTGACGGCAACAGGCTTAGCTGACCACAGAACAATTTAGATCTTGTTTACTGCTGCTGTGCATGCTGTTTCGGAGATATCAGTTGATGGTTGGACGCTGCTGTGTGTAAATCGATGGTGTCGTCTGACGCGCTCTTCTTTCCAGGCTGTACAGTTGGGAGAGGTCCTGCTTGACACGACCACTTCTCAACGTTGGTGCACATTGTGACAGCCCTGGAGTCGCGGGGTCGTGCCGACTGTTCCATTTAATGAATCGCACCTCCTGTTCTCTACGCAACTGCTCCAACTGGTGGGCCTGGAACATTTTTAGGTGACACGACTCCTTTTTGGTCAAGTCGTGAGGAGGGGCTGTTACAGGCTGCCCTTCTTCGTCGATGTTTAAACACACTGAGGTTCACCTTGCTTAGGCCTCTTCCGGGCATTGGCGGTTTTCAGTGTGTGTGTGTCTTTGCGCGCACATGCATTTGCACATGTTTGGCAGTGCTACCAAATGTTGTGGTCTTTGTTTGCAAAAGGCAAAGTAACACGTTGAGTAAATATGCACAACGGGCATGCATTGTATCTAAAACATGCAAGCTCTTCGAGAGCAGCATTCTGAGAACCTCGTTCTCTGAGGCCCCAAGGCCAATATTTCAAGACTCGCCTCCAAAAAGAGCACGATGGCTATTACGTGGCATGGGCTACACCATTTGATATTGCGTGGTTAAATTGGTTCGTGTCTCGAAACTTGTCCAGGCGCAATTGGATGTATATAAACCTATCTGCATGGATGCTACCCTTCTGAAATGGCAGCAGTTCCTTCCATCTCCGAGAACAATTCTGGTTCTACTGCGTACCTTGATTGCAAATGATTGTGTAGTTCTGGTGTTCGATAAGCCCTTGGGCTTTCAAAGGCGTTACGATCACGTGCGCTCACGAATCCTCCGTGAAACGTGGATTGAGCGAGTTCCCCAACCACAGGTCAAAGCGCAAGAAAGAACTAGAAATCACACACACAGAGTCTCCAAGACTCAATCTCACGGCCAGCGCCGAGAGCGAAGGCTTTCGCCAACTGAACCCTTTCCGAATCCGTCATCCAGGCAGATGCTCCGTCAATGCACCCTTGTGCTAAGACTCTGCCGCAAGAACGTGGTTTCGTCGAATGGAACACTCCCGGAAAAGCTTGGAGTGTCCAATTTGGACAAAAACAACATACTGTCACGCAACAACTTGTAAATATCGTACAAAGTAACTTGTTCCTGGTCGCCATCGATTTGAAAATTCCGCAAATGAAAGAGCAGAGCCAACTCACAAAATGAAATCGAGAGGCCTGGGTCAACGCTCCATCGCAGACCTTTCAAGAACTTCACCAGGTTGGTCCACTCCGTGTGGGAGCCACGCCACTTTGTTGGCGGTTCAAGCTTATTGGGGAGCTTTGGCTTCCACGGGAATGCAGAACAGGAAATACCCCAAGGCCACTGTGGAAAGCGCACTTGACAAATAGCAGGTGACAAGTCTTTCTCATCATGACCAACCTCACCCAGAAGGAGGTGCTTCTGGTGTGGGCAACATGGAATGAAGTTCAATAAGCCACCTCTGATGTCGCTCAATGATCTGATCAGCTTGTATTTGAACCTGACAATCAACCGGTGAAAGCCGTTGTGCAAGTTGCTTAGCTGCACGATCACAAAGCCTGTTGTTATAAATATGTTCAACTGTCGTCTGTTTACATCTCGCCAAGTCCTCTGTCCAGAGAGCATCTGGAACATGTTCAAAGCAGTGCGCCGGGATCCATTGCGCTTCGAATGGACGGGTATCAGTACTTGTACGCAATGCAACAACATGTGCAAGCTTTCGCCACCACTCTTGGCAGATCCATGTGGGCGGTACGGAGGACCCTGCAACAATTATGTTGGCATGCTTAACGGCAGTCTCACAATCAGAAAAGATCTGAAGTTTTGTTGTTGCAGTGACGCAGGTCACAATGATAGCCCACACCTCAGCAGCGTAGGCGGACAGTGCCCAATGGTTAACAAGCCCTTGTCTGACTACTTCATGATTAGCGTTGACTACAGCAAAAGCTGCTGTAGCTAGCCAAAACTTCTGGCCGTGAACAAGAGAGCCGTCTGTCCACATGCGTTGACAGGTGTTTATATCAAAGTCACCTGGGACCTCTAAGTCAGCAGCCCAAGAAATTTGTAGTCTCCGCTTTGCTATAAAAACCGGATGTTCCACATGTCCTAACATGGCAAAATTCTGTCCAAGCTCATCGCTGCGCGGCTTTCCAATAACTGAATGGACATGGTGACAATCGAAAACCAGGTGGCTAAGGGATTCCTTTGCGTGGCCACAAAACCGGCATTCAGCACTTGCAACCCATCCTGAAGCTGCAAGTCTGTCGTTGGTCAAGGTGCCCCCAATTAAGACAGACTCTAACCGGCTCTTTTGTGAAACCCCACAAAAATCAGGCTCGCGTGGAAGTTTATGGAGAAGAGCAGTTGTTTGATGAAAATCGAAAATCCGCTTGGTAGGAAGAAAATCCTTCCGTGCTCGAGCATTCGCAAGCTGGTAACAAGCTTGTCTAGCTATCTGTTGAAGGACTTTATTGGCCTCTTTGGCAGAAACCGAAAAGATTGACACAGGTTGAGATCCACAAAAGGACATTTGGAGATCCTGGTCAAAGCTGCGGTCTGAAGCTTGCTGGCTAACGAATGAGTGCCAGGATTGTTGATCCAAGTCTGCCGCTAAAGCTCATGTGTGTGAGGCATGGACTGACACATCCTTAGAATTTCGAGGATCGAACAAACGGCACAAGCAATCTTGGGATCAGTACGGTGCGGTTTGGCCAAAATGGCCTGCAGCAAAGGACGTGAACGCCATTTCGGTCTTCCAGCCCACAGTGCCCTTGCAATCGCATTCTGAATTGAGTTCATGGCGGCTTGGGGAATCTTGGTAATATGGGCCCCAAATGCAATTTGCGGGATGGTTTTTGCTCCAATGAGAAAAACCTTGGTGTGTTGGGGGACTGGCAAAGCCGCGATGTTATCCGCGTCAGCCAACACTTTCTTTAAGCGTTTCTCTTCAAAGCAAAAGGCATCTCTGTCAGAGATGTACATTTTGGTGCCTAGCACTTCAACCTCAAGAGCAAGGGGAAAATCAGGGAAAGTAGCTTTTGCAGTTTTGCGGCCAGTGGATGAAGTCGACCAAAGTGAGGACTTCCCTTCATTAAGTTTTCGGCCAACAAGTTTATCCCAGACCTTCGTAACTTCAACTGCTTTCTGAAGATATTCAATATGCTCGAGTTTGGCCCACATGTATGCGTCATCGATGTATGCACGAACCCAAATGTGTGGCAAGTTTTCCAAAAGGTGGTACCAGACTTTATTGTATGCATTCATCGCTAATAGAGAAAATGAACATCCCTGCGCCACACCATTGGCTGGTGTTGTAGAGATGGGAGAGGCCCATTTTCGATATGAGAGATGGCGGTGAAGTCCTTGATACAGTTTGATGAAAATACTCACAACTCCTTTGGGCACTCCAAACGCTAAAAGCAACGCAGCAGCAAATGCAGGGACAATGCGATCAAAGGCTTTAGCTTTGTCTAGCTTAACGCCGACAAGGGTCACATGGGTTTGCTTGGCACTGTCGATCTGCAAGCGCATATCATTGTAAAGCGAAGACATGTACCGTCCATGGATGCCTCCAAGGATGGCATCTGGCATTGCAACGCTGTGCCATTGCTGGAGTTGAGCGTATCTACTGCCAGTATAGGCCAAAAGGAGTGGTGGAAGGACAGTAATCAAACGCTTATTGAGAGGCGTTGCTGGTCCAGGCTTGTTAAGGATGACTTGCTTTGCGCACACTAAAGCCTTAGGAAGAGGCAGGTGACTAGACTCAATCAAGCTAAAGAAGTGGGCCACCGGGTCTAATTCCGCAGAGGTGAAGGTTTGAAGTTCAAGAGTCCTCCACCCATCGAGACCAGGAGCCGCGTGGGCCTTTCTCTTTTGAAGGACATGGTGAAGATATGTGAAGATCATGGCCGGTGATAGCAGGGAGACTAACCTCCTGATGTTTATCGGCAATATATG